CACATCGATGAGCTGAGAGAGCTTAAGGCCGAGCTTGACGGTGAGTCTGTCCGAGTTGTTGCCGACAGGGCGGATGAGGCGGTTATAGGAGCTAAGTAGATCGTCATAGAGGCGCTTGGCGTCCGGGTTGGCCTGGCAGGTGGGCGCTAACAGAGCCGCCCATCCTGCAGCCACTAGCAACCATACCCACGCCCAGCCCCTTCCACACCTGGACCCAGCACCACATGTCACCCCTACACAAGAGTTCACTCTGGTTCTGCACTCGAGGTGGCTAGTGTGACAGCGAGACCACTGAATCACTGACGGAGACCCTCCTTGAGCAGGCGTAGCCGTGGGACCCCCGGGCGCGACACCCCCCCGCGTACAGAGTGGTGCTGCCCCCATAACGTGACGGGGGCGTGGAACCGTGGCACACCGCCGCAAAGACCCTCTCCCCACACTGTCCAACGCCACACTGCCGACCCGCCGCCGAGCACCACACACGCGCGACCCGAACTCTCGCTCTGCCCTTCGCGCGCACACACACTCAACGCGGCCACACTCGCACACACACGCTCATTGCGGGCACACGCACACGCTCTCCTCCTCGCTGGGTGTGCACAAATGTACGCACATACTCTCTCTGGGCGCACATGTTTACTCGCACGCATACACCAAAATGAATGAAGCTATATTTAGATTCATTCATTCAGCTGCACAAGATTTACATCCACGAATTTACGTCTGCAAAGATTCGACCAGCGGCGTATGATAGTGGCACTAAAGAGAAGCTGGAGTAGTGATGTTGAAAGTTATACTGATTTTTACTGTCATAATAAGAATAGTAACAGTAATATTGGTAATAGCAATAATAACAATTATGACAATAACAATAAATCACAAGAGAAATAAAGATTAAAACAAAAATATAACAATGATATTCATAATGACAATGAGGATGACATAAGGATGGTAATCATCAAGACAAGGTCGGCGGCTCTTAAACAGAGCAAGAACTCGGTACATAACAATGATAATAATGATAACAATAAGACGTACAGACTAACGTACCATTATTTCTAACCCTACTACTGTTTTCAGATTTTCCTGATTTTTGCCATTAACAATGAAACTAGGGCATGCCTGCATACATATGTACATTTATAGATAGATACACACATACACATATATAGATAGATAGGTACGTATATACATGTAAATACATATCAAGATGTATATATACGTACGGTTTGCTTACATTTTACGGCAGAAATTATAGCATAAAATGGAGTAACAATCGACAACATGAATAACAGAGAATCATACCCACACAAACACACACACGCTACTTATTATGGATATATGATCCTATTCTATCATGATCATTATTATTAGCATTATTGATATTGTTATTATCATTATTATTATCATTATTGTCGTTATTAGTATTATTGCTGTTGTTGTTATTATCTTTTATGATGCATTGTTATTATCATTATCACCATTGCCGTCACCATTATTATTATTATTTTATTACCATTATCATTATTATCATCATTGTTGTTGTTATTATTATTATTATCATTATCATTATTATCATCATCATCATCATCATCATCATCATCATCATCATCGTCATCATCTTTATCATCGTTATCATCATTGTCATTGTCATTCTTCTTCTTCAAGTCAAGTACACAACACTGCATTAGTTACACCGTCAGTTTATGTACATTATTATTTATTTATTAAGAAGGAAGGTAAGAGGGGAAGGAAAAAGGAAGGGAGAGAAGAAAGGAGAAGAGGGGGAAAAAAAGGTTGGGAAGGAGGGGGGGGGGGTAAAAGAGAAAAGGGAGATGGGGAATGGGAAACAGTGGGAGAACAGAAGGGGGCTTAGAGAGGCAAAGGGGATAAGTAAAGAGAAAGGGAGGGGGAGGGGGGAGGGGGATGAGACACGGAGGGAAAAGGTTACGTGAAAGAAAGGAAGGGAAGTGGGAGGAAGTGGATGTAAGGTCTAAAGTGGGAGAGGAGTGAATTTAAGGAAGATCTAGGGATGAGAGAGAGTACCAGAGCGGGGAAAGGAATGATAGAGGGAGAGAGAAAGGAAAAGGGATGGGGGATAAAAGATGTATGAGGGTGAAAGAGAGAGAGAATTGTATCTTCTTATGTTCCATGTAATTTCTCCGCTATATATATATATATATATATATATATATATATATATATATATATATATATATATATATATATATACATATATATATATATATATATATATATATATATATATATATATATATATATATATATATATTCATATACATACACACACACACACACACACACACACACACACACACACACACACACATATATATATATATATATATATATATATATATATATATATATACATATACATATATATAAATACATATATATATATATATATATATATATATATATATATATATATATATGTATATATATATATATATACATTTGTAGATACATTGTGCATTGCATATACTGGATGAGTAGATACAATAGTAATTGCAGTTCAGTCCATATAAATGGACTATATGAAATAAATCCTACCTTATAGTTCAGTCTATGTATGGTCCAAGGCTAAGGAACTTCACCCTAAACAAAACAACCCACTGTCTTGTGGCATCTACGAGATGGAAAGGCTAAAGAGTTAATCCTAAGGAAAAATCCGGAACTGACCCTGAGTCCCTGAGGCAGACATTGTCGCTTGCAACCTCGTTCTGGCAACTCCTTTGGATCCTTTAGCTGGAGAGAAGGAGCCTGCTACATGGGCATCAGCTTGTGTGTGTGTGTGTGTGTGTGTGTGTGTGTGTGTGTGTGTGTGTGTGTGTGTGTGTGTGTGTGTGTGTGTGTGTGTGTGTGTGTGTGTGTGTGTGCACAATTACATACATGCATATATATACATACAATCAGACACACACACACACACGTGTATATACGTACATATACACCGTTGAGTATTTTGAAGAGATATGCTCAGTGCCAACGAAAAGGCCCAGAAAAGTATGGCATCGCATTCGAAATTAAAACAAGATGAACAGACCCTTTCTGCCGACGAATATTTTATTTTGGAGCGATATTGTCCGGTAAATTCCTTGTCCGTAGCCATGGAAATAGTCCTATTAATAATTGGCGAAAGCAATGGTATTTTGGGTTTTATATATTTATACTTTTTATACTTTTCCTCTCTCCTTCTCTCCCGCTATCTCCCTCTCTCTTCTTTTTTCTATCAGCCTGTCTGCTTGTCTGTCTGCCTGTCAGTTGGCTTTGCCCTCTCATTCTCACTCTCTCTCTCTCTCTCTCTCTCTCTCTCTCTCTCTCTCTCTCTCTCTCTCTCTCTCTCTCTCTCTCTCTCTCTCTCTCTCTCTGTAAATGACAACTGTTCATTTGATGAATTGTTCTCTATTAAATGAATTGACGGTATATATCACACAGGAATGTTCGTTCTAAATAACATATTTTTAAGTATTTATTACTATATTTAAATGGCACATACAAAAAAAGGAAAATGAGAACGTATATACATTTTGTGAAGGATTCTGGCACCCATCGATCGTCAATTAATGACCAACGATTACTAGAGGGTGACCCGGCTAAATTGATGGTAATTGTCACTGAATCAAGGCTGTTGTTAGAACCGATCACCTAAGTAATAACTACGGAGGAGACTCAAAATCTATTTGTTATTATCAAATCCACTCAGAGCAAAGGGAGATTCCCCTATCCCTTATAAACAAAATGTATGGTCTTTGACAGCGACCCGCACCCAATTTCGGTTATTGATGGCTATTAATAACTTGATAGAACAGGCTAGCTAAAAATAACCACCTTTATGATCCCGACCCATCCACCTCATCCTGATATTTCAATTTTTGAGACTCGCCTCCCTAGAAAGAAGAATATTTACCGAAACATCACATTCTCAAAGGTAATGATGAATCGAATTGGTTGTATTTACTATGCCGGGGCCAGCAAACAAGCCTGTCTCGTGATTACCGTTCTGGACCCCATTACGTAGATCTACATTGTTTACTCTCCCTTGGCTCACGGGAGAACCTTACTGTGTTTACATACAGAATCTCCCTCTCAACCTCCTCACCTTCGACTCGTATTCTGTTTACGGTTGATGTTTGTCTCTCTGTCTCTGTCTGTCTGTCTGCCTCTCTCTCTCTTTCTCTCTCTCTCTCTCTGTCTCTCTGTCTCTCTCTCTCTGTCTCTCTCTCTCTCTCTCTCTCTCTCTCTCTCTCTCTCTCTCTCTCTCTCTCTCTCTCTCTCTCTCTCTCTCTCTCTCTCAACCTTCTCACCTTCGACTCGTATTCTGTTTACGGTTGATGTTTGTCTCTCTGTCTCTGTCTGTCTGTCTGTCTGCCTCTCTCTCTCTTTCTCTCTCTCTCTCTCTCTCTCTCTGTGTGTGTGTGTGTGTGTGTGTGTGTGTGTGTGTGTGTGTGTGTGTGTGTGTGTGTGTGTGTGTGTGTGTGTGTGTGTGTGTGTGTGTGTGTGCGTGTGTGCATTTGCACGTAAACTTCATGCAGAGATTGCTAACCTTTATTCCGTTTGCTAATTCTTGTTATTCTTGCTTTCAACTTAACCAGTTTTCTCTTCTGCGATATAATTAAACCAAAGTTTTTTTTTTCTTTCTTTCTTTAACAGACGAGACAAGGCACCATAATTTCCCTCTCTCATTCCATAAGTTGGGAACACCAGGATAGAACAACTTTGCAAGTGCTACATACCTTAATTTTTATATCACGCATACGTTTACTTCCATCCATATTTTCCGTTCGCGTCGGAGCTAAACTTGAAAATTTACAACCCAGTCAGAAAAAAAAAAAATGTTTGGAAATAAGAATAGAGAAAAAAGAAAAAGACTTTTATCCGTGAATACCAATATAAAAATACAAAGTATGATATTAAAAGACGAGAGTTAGACACAGAACAAAATGTAAGTAAAAAGAAATGGGCGAAAGCAATATAAATAAACGTTTGCACTACGAACATAAGATAAAGAGAGAAGAGAAGGTAAATAACACTTACTAGCAACAGAGGGATAAATAAAATCATAAAAGGAAGTGAAATAGAAAACTAAAAAGAATAAACGCAAGAAACAGAGAGAGGCAAACCATTAACAATAAGGGAAATGCAAAGAAAAAGGAAAAACGGAAAAGATGACAATGAACATAAGCGACCATGAAAGAACATTCACAACGGAAGGACAATCATCTCAACTCACGATTTTTTGCTGGCAGTGTGATGGGGCAATATTATTGTGTCAAATTTATGGCCAATTGTTTGAAGACACTTTGGTCCCATGATATACGTTTGTGTGTGTGTAAATCAGGCAGAACGAGCTCAATCACGTTTATGTTAAAGAAACTGACCATGTGTTACAGAACTAGAAGATATG